AATATTAGATTTAGGTTTTTTAGTTAATTAAATTTTTATAAATAATTTTTTTTAATTTAATCACACTTTGTTTTATTTTATTAATTAGTTGGTAAATTAATTAGAATTAGGGTTTATTATTTTTACCCTATAAAATATTCTTCTAAATAAAACACAAAATATTAGAATTTCTTAGATTTTAAATTTCTTTTCCTTTTCACCATCTCCACGCGTTTGTTTATTTTTCGCATCGTTATAATTATGTAACTGTTAAGGGATGTAATAGATAAAATAGGGTTTACTTTACTTTTCTCCCCATTCATAAATTTGTACCCCCATTCCCGGAGCATTGTAATAGCATATGACATTTAATTTCCGCAATTTATTGATTTCCTTATAACTGTTAGTTTAATAGGATTGTATGGCAATATCTAAAACAAAATGTTAGATAACCATAAATCCAAAATAAATTAATTGAAATCAATTACTTCGTGCACGCGCACCTCTAGGGTGACTCTCACTTGTTGCCTCAGATAAAAAACAGTCATGTCCCTCAAACGTGGGATGCTTTAGCAAAGACCCTCGGTTAAAAGATCGTAGTCCCTCAATGACCCTTCGATGTTTCCTTCGATAAACGATCTCAGTCTCTTACGAAAATTGCTAAAGCGTCCTACAAATTGCCTTCTATGACTGTACGATGACCCACACCTGTCCCTCACATCCAATGATATGGCTTCCTACTAACTAATGGTAGGGTAGCACCATCTAAAGGAGGAGGAAAAGAACAAAGACTTCTTTGAGTAGGTAGAATGCTCGTAGTCGATTGCTCACAAACTTTTCAAAACAAAACATCTTTCCACAGAACAACACTTTCTTTCACAATATTTTCAAAACAAACATTTTGTATACATTCTCAACGATACGATAATCATTACAAAATTATCGCACTTAGGCATTCTCAAAATATTTTCAAACATACACAAGCATAAAGCATTTCTAAAAAGTGAGCTAGCGATTAAGAGCCCGTAGAAGATTACGGATGAAAAGGGTGCTAACACCTTCCCTTTTCATAACCTACCCCCCTTACTCAGAAAATTCTCAAAAGGTTTTTCCTGTTCTTTTCACCATTTCCTTTATTGGATAAAAAAAAGTCGGTGACGACTCTTGATATCCACAACATTTGCGATAAAACGCAAAACCAAAAAGTCAGTTCTCCCATTGTATTACATAGCTGCATGTCAAGTTGTGTGGCTTCTGAATTTACTGCAGGATTTGAAGATCAACGTAGATAAACCTCTAAAGCTGATAATTGATAACAAATCTACAATCAATCTTGCCAAGAACCCGATACTACATGGGAGAAGCAAGCATGTTGAGACAAAATATCATTTTCTCAGAAGTCATGTCCAGAACGGAGTACTAGAAGTTGTGCATTATAGCACCCAGAAGCAGCTGACAGTCTACAGATATCATGACAAAGACAATCAAGACAGATCAATTTTTTCGCTTAAGGAATGAAATTGGTGTAGTTAGTTTTCATTAGAAATCGTAAAATAAGGGATGATATTAAAGGGTATTTTAATGCTTTTAGTTGTTTTGATAACTTAGTCATTAAGTCTATTCTATTAAGGCATATGTAACATTCCTTTTCTTTATGTATAATAGACTAGTTGTAAATATCATAGCAACAACAATTATTCTTCTTTCAACTTTTACAACCGTCATTCTCTTTACTCTCTTAAATTTATTTTTTAATCATCATTGATTCTTGTCAACTAACAATTACAAATCTTAATACCCAACCACGAGGTTATTGAACTCTTCTGTTAACAAAATCGCAGCTATTTATATTTGTTTTACTCTTATTCAGAAAACTTCAACTCCGGAAGAATCTCCTCTTCTTGAGATTCTCCATAACCATGGCCTCTCATCAGAACCATTCCCTCAGAGTGTGAAATCATTTGAATTAGACCAAATGGGTCGTTTAGAAGTACACTTGGATCGTCCTTGTTTGGCTCAGTATGAAACAACAGTGTTCTTCCACAGTGTTGTTAAAGCCAACCTTAGTTTCAGACAGCTTAAGGTTTTGGAAGGTATATCTCGTGAAGAGCTTTTCCTATGACTACCTGTTAAAGATATCATTGACACTGATCAAACTTCTAGTCTCATTCTCATTGATATTGGTTTTTCCTATAAACGTCTCTCTTTCTCTCGTTTTGGTGAACCCCCATATCTCATCAAGGTATTGTATTAGTATCTTCCCTTTCTCTCACTTTTTTAATTGTGGGTTTTAGTTTTAGATTAAGTAGAATTGAAAAAAAATGATTTTGTAAAATGGTTTTTTTTTTTATGATTGAATTGAACCAGTTAGTGAGATTAGTTAAATCGGAAATTCGAATGGTTATTAGTGTGATCTGATTGTTGGATAGAGTATGCTATTAAACTAGTAAGAACTAGTTAAAACGGGTCAAAACTGATAAATTAAATACCTATTTTTTTCTTCGGATAAAACATTGTCGTTTTGATATTTTTTAATAAATAAATAAAATTAAAATATAATTAGACTTTATTCAAAATTTATTTGAAATAACTTTTCCTTGTTTGTAATTAGAGTTCGTTTAAAATTTATTTAGATTTATATTTTGTATTATTTTGTTGTGTGATTATATTTAAAATTTAAATTTAAAGAATCAACACGTGAAATCATGATATTTTGAAATTATAAAATTTTATAGGTGTCATAATATTTTTAGAGATTAAATCATGTGATTCGATCAATCTAATAAATATATAATTTAATTATAAATAGATGTTTATTTTCAATGTAAAATCCTTAGATTCTTCACTTTTATACATTAGGTATTGTTTACCTGCAATCGTAAAGACTAATCCCCTAAATTAAGAGGACTATAAATCCACAATGAACAACTCTCCTTCAAAAAGACTTCAAAAAATAAAAAACATTGGATTAAATCCAAAAATATCTCTATTATCTCATCCGGGTTTCCTTTATACTTACAGTCTTTAAAGGTAAGAAAATGAAAGGGGTAATCAAGGACTAGTTTGGTTAGCTCGTTGTTGGAGCTTATGGTTGAGAAAGAATGCTATTTTGTTTAAAAACAAAATTTGTTTTATTTTAATTTGGATTATTAAGGCTTTGACTTTTTTTTAATAATTAATTTGAGTCTATCAAGATTCGAACATGAGACTTTGAAGACAGCACACTTTTAAAACTCAAATCTTTATCACTAGACTACTCACGCACATATTAAGTCTTTAACTTGGAAATGATTTTTCTATGGAGAAATTACTTATGTCAAATATAATTTTTATGAGTTTTACAAAGTTCCTTCTCTATCATTTAGGTTAATTTCATTTGGTTGGTAATCTCTTTTTTTCCTGAGTGTTGCCTCAATTTTTGTAATTGGGATTGAGTACCCTATGCTCGATTTAATATATCTTTGCTTTAAAAAAATCTTCATCCAAATATTCTAGGCTAAAATATATGAAATCCTAAAACCAAAAGAATGAGCATATCCAATCAACCAATCTGCAAGTAGGGGTGGTAAAACTGGTTGATTCCGTCGAGCCAGCCTGTTTGACCTACTATTTTTGATGAGATGAGGTTTTTGGCTCGGTATCTTAAGTTGGTCTGTCCCGCCTAACTCGCTTTAAAATGCGGACTTTGGCGGGACGAGACGGATTTTGCCCGCAGGCTTTTTGTTATAACTTTTTACTTTTTACTTAGAATTAAGACAACTTTAACTATAAAAATAATAGTATTCTCTTTGAGTTATGGTGATTGAACTACATTCTAATTATTATACAGACAAAATGAATTATAATTGTAAGATTTTTTATATAACTTTCTAATACATGTATTGGTTGGAAAAACTTGAAATACAATAACAATTGTATGTCATTAAGAATTATTAAGTTGTCAATACATTAGCTCACATGTTTTCTTTAGAAACAAATGTTAATTTTAAGAAAATGAAGAATTCGATTAGAGTATATGTGTGATAAATTTAAGATATAACTATTAAGGAATCAGTCAATATAATAGTCTATATGACGTAAACAATGAGAAAGTCAGGTCTTATGCACTGTTATCATTGTTTATCTTGTGCAAATTATTAATTGAATTATTTTAGTAATTAGTTTATAAATAAGATTATGATAGTATGTGTTGTTTATTTATTTATTCTGATACATTTTTTATCGTGCTAGAGTCTATTTCGATATGTTTTTCTTGAAATTGTTCTTTATCTATTTTATTTTTTTAAATGATTGGACTTAAGACATGTTGAAGTTATATTATGCGTTGTTAAAAAAAATATCTTTATCGGTAGTAATGATTAAAATTTTTGTAAATTATGTAATAAATTAAATTATAAAATAAAAAAACTAAAAAAAATTGACGGACCGACCCGCCAACTCGTTAGTAAACGGGAACGAACTTGACTTTTGAACTCGGATGCCTAAATTTACCCATTCCGTCCCGCTTTTGTACGGGCTTAAATGAAACCGGCCTAAACGAAACGGACCGCCCAGTTTAACCACCCCTATCTGCAAGTATGCTACTATGTTTACAGATTTGGATTATCTCCGGATGAAATAAAGTCTTAATCCCCACCATTGAATCATTTTAAATTTCTTTTAAAATATTTAATTGAACAAATTAAAGGGACCAGATTTCACTACACAATAATGTGACCGGAGACAATCTGAACCCCATGTTTCCCCCTCCCTAAAAGGTATGGGATATGCAAACATCAAATATTTAGTTTTTAAAGAAGCAAACCTAGAAAACAAACATACTTGTCAATACAAAATCAATTTTTAACATCAATATTTCACAAAACATTTTAACACATGGGTGGTATGGAACCTCATTCAAATGAGTGACTAAGAATTTCTACTTTTGTTAGCATCTGAATTCTAAGTTCTAAACCTAATAATGGTACAGATCAAATCACAATTTCTCCAAGAAAAAAAAGGGGACGCTGCCAACGTGAGGGTTACCAAAGATATGCCAAGTCATCATCGTGTTCGAGGCCTAAATAGTAGACACCAATCAATGTAAGCCTGCAAAATCGAAGTTGATACAAAAATTTATCTTTAGGTTATAAATAGTTGCCATGAAATGAAACTTAAAAAGAAATAAAAACAAAAAGTTGACAGCAAGCATGAGATAAATGCTAATCTACTTGAGACCAATGTAGATTACGTTTTGAGATGATTATAAGAAATTTCTGGAATCCAAAAGTATTCAACCCGAAGACGAATTCTTAGAAGTTGAATTGTAAAATATTATTCTCATAGGAGGCAGCAGTAAGAAAACAAAATGGATAGTGTTGAGCATTTTTTAAGGGTAACAAACCTGAAGATGGTGACAATGAGGACTATTAAGTACAAAGCAAGTTTTGCTATCCGGAATTTCTTCTCGGCATTGAGTACTCTAAACACTTCAGTAACATCGATAAGATGCTCTCTTTTCACATACCTGGACCATTGAAATGAGACAATTCATGACAAACAACATGCAACAAGTTCAAAAGATAAATCCTATATGAATGTACAAAATAATATAAAATGATTAAACAACTCAACTTTTCATTATTGTGATTTTCTTTCTAATTTTCATCTCACCAAATTAAACCATCGGCATTGGTTTAGATGTTTAGCTGGAAAATATTTCAACTTGAAAGTAACCTTATTATGGTGCATGCATTGCAGGGTTAATCCCGAATATGGGAAAAGTGGGAATAGCGGAATCTAAGATAGCGAGATAATTTTTTGTATACTAATAATTATATAATAATCTATAAAATATATGTCATGTAATACTAAACTAATTTCACTAACACTCATAAAATATTTATAAAATCTAATGTCAAACAAAGAACAATGCTTAATCAAGATTCAAAACATAAAAATTCAAATTCAAACTTAGTACTATCATATGAAAATTCAAGCAAACATAGAAATCATGTGGCATCATCGAAATATTCCTCCAATTCTTCATCTTCAACTCCTTCAACATATTCCTCCAATTCTTCATCTTCAACATCTTCCTCCAATTCTTCATCTTCAACTTCTTCAACATCTTCCACCACTTGTTGTGTCATTGGTGCTCTAGGTGTCATTGTTGCTCTTGGTGAAATTGTTGCTATGGGTGCCGTTGTTGCTTGAGAAGTACTTCCAACTTCAAGTTGCCTTGTTGTCCTCCTAGTGTAGATTATAGGCTCATTAGCCCCACTAGCATCGGCAACTTGACTCCAAGTTAAATCATGATTTGGATGAACCAAGTCTTCACCATCATCTCTTACATTTTTCATCTCTCCCACCAACCATTCGGTGTGGAAATTAATTTCGTTAAATTCCATAGGATCAATTTTATCCCGAATTTCAAACCTCTCTACCAAAGCTTAATTATACTTGATAAACACCAAGTCTTGCAATCTTTGATGTTCCAATTTATTTCTCTTCTTGGAATGAATCTAAAATACAATAATTTGAAGTATTAATTTAATAATACTTGCATGTAAGATACTTTAATATCCTAGTAAAAAATTAATACTCACATGCTCAAAGATGCTCCAATTACGCTCACATCTGGAAGCACTGCAACTCAAACTCAACACTTTAACAGCCAACAATTACAACTCCGGAGTTTCGGCTCCATAAGACTTCCACCACTCAGCTGCAAGTAATTGTAAAAAATCATTTCATTTCCATATGCATAACACAAAGTGTATCATATGTAAAAAATCAAAAAATCATTCCATCTTACCTGGAGCTAATGTCGACCTTTGTCTAATTGCCGCTCTTATGCCAAAGAGACCCACCCGTAGCACTCCTGTATTGTGACAATTGTTCTGAAATCAAATCTTCCACTGCATAACTTTCACTAAGTGTCTCAATGTACTTACGGAGGCCTCTCACCAATCTACCATTATTCTCAATTTCTGGTTTAGAATAATAATATTCAGGATTGAGATAGTGACCTACAGAATGTAGCGGACGATGAAGTTGACACTCTCATCTTTTATCGATGATTTCAAATACGGCTTCGTACTTGCTTGAATTTGAACTAAAAGCTTTCTCAATTGATTCCTTCGCTACCCCCATTGCGGCATATATGTATTCCATTGCGGGTTTCCTTTCATTATCAACCATTCTTAGCACATCTACAAGAGGCGCCATGCACTTAAGAGTGTAGAGAACATCATTCCAAAATGATGTCGTCAGTATAGTAGTAGTTGTCCTTTGTCCTTTAGCATCTTTGGCACACTTGGAACTCGTCCATTCTTCACAAAGGAACATCTCTCTAAGCTTTCCTTTTAGTTCTTGCATCCTTTGTAGACAAAGGAAATGGATAGCAAACCTTGTCACTCCTTGTTTAACCAATTCAACATTACCGGCAGTCTTTCTCATTAGATTCAAAGCAAAAGTATGATTATAAATGTAGCCCACAACCTTAACCCCTTTTTGTATAACCTTTTGAACCTTTGGAATTTTGCCTATGTCTTCTAACATAAGGTCTATACAATGGGCAGCACATGGAGTCCAAAACATGTGAGGCCTCCTCAAACACAATTCTTTACCCGCCGCTACATAATTACTTCCATTGTCGGTAATCAATTGAACAACATTTTTTTCACCCATTTCCTCAATAAAAGTGTCCAACAACTCGGCTAGCTTTTCCCCCGTCTTGACATAGTTAGAAGCATAACACTTTTCACAAACATGGTCCCCGTCGAACAATTGACCAAGAAATTAATCAATGTTCTACCTTTTCTATTCGTCCAACCATCCGACATAATTGAACATCCATATTTATTCCTTTGCACCTCTTGGTTTTTCAACAAACCTTTTGTATATTCCAACACATTTCGAAGGATTGGAACCCTGAGTTCATGATAACTTGGCGGTTTCAAATGAGGACCATAACTTCCAACGGCTTCCAACATCAACTTAAAAGCTCTTGCATTTGCTACGTTAAAAGCAACTCCACACGTATAAAAAAAGCGACCAATATATTGGATGGTTCTTGCCCTTGCTTCTTTATCACACGCATCATTGATGCTTGTGTCCTTACTCTTCTTATACACCAAATCCAACGGCCCCTTAGTCCTCTTGACAGCCATTGAAGAGGTCACACTCTCAACAATCCTCTTTCCGGTTCGAATTCTACGTATTTCCTCAATATCAATGGTATCATCCGCATCTAATTGCACCGAAACCTCTTGTATTCCTTTCTTAATTCTCTCTTTCTCAACCATGTCCGCACATAATATAGTCTTAACATCCTCGGGTGTTTTCGTGCAAGAAACTACATCACCGGTAATTGCTAATTGATGCCTTTTGGCTCTACTTATTCCCCCAATGCTAGTTAAATTACAAAAATCACATGTCATCTTCTTCTTGTTATTCAAATCCTTCAAATGATTGTATTTCCATCATATGTCCTTACTATTGGTTGGTTTGAACGTTGGAGCACATAAGGCAACCGACGCAGAATTCGGTGTCGACGAAGAAGCTGCCATATTTACCTGAAAACAGAGAATGAAACGGTACGAAAGAAGTATATTTACCCGAGGCTGACTGAGAGTGAAACGGAGAAGTGGAATGGAGAAGTCGAACGGAGAAATGAAACGGAGAAGTCCTTGCTGGCTGCTGCTGGAACAGCGGAGAAATAGAACGGAGAAGTAGAAGAAGGCTTGCTGGAACGGCGGAGATGTGGAACGGAAGTAGAAGAAGATGTACCTATATGTTGCTGGAACAGTAGAGAAGCAATTGAAAAAATAGGGCACAAAAGAAATAGGGCAGAAGAAACGAAGAAGCAGAATGAAAATATAAATCTGTTTTAAAAACTATTTTAAAACAGGGATAAAACAGTAATTTTGTCCACAAAAAAATTTTAAAAAAAAATACCAGGCCCGAACCGCTCCGCCCGGGAGGTGCCCGCTATCCGCGACCCGGTATAGCGGCGATAGCGCCCGCGATATTCTCTCCGCCACCGCACCCATGTGCGCGCGCGGTAGGCCCCCGCTCCGGTCTGGAGCGCCGCGATAGCGGCCGCTACGGGCGCTATTAACAACTCTGATGCATTATACATTCATTTTATTTGACTCAACCCGTAAACAAGGTAAACAACCTAAAAGCACCTTAAGTTCGTTACGTTTCATTTCACCGAACTAGAAAATAAAGTTAACAAATCAATAGTTCAAGAATACATTCTGGTAAAATTAATGATAAAAAAGTAAAACAATATATCTTTGATCCAAAAAAAGTTTAAAGAATTGTATATAATTTATCATGTTAAACAATGCAACTTAAGTGAAGAAAAGAATGAAAAATCATCTGAATGAAGGCAAAGATCATGAAATGTTGAAAGGGCAACCGGAAAATTGAATGATCAATTTTCCAAACTACAACTTAGATTCAGGACCGACAACAACGACCAAACCTTCTCCACTAAGTGGAAACGATTACATGGATCAAATTTGGTCATGATGCGATCAAAAATCATGTTTCTATCCAATTCGTTAATCTCAAGATCTTTTTTAACAGTTTCTCTTATAATTTTTCTAGGTCTTCTTCTACCTCTAGTTGTTTGACTCCTATCCTATCCATCTGATCTATTCTCTTTACAATAGAATCTACATATCTTCTCTCTACAGGCCCAACCACTTAACCCTATTTCCCACCATCTTTTCTACTATTTGTGCTACCCCGACACTTTCTAATATAGGAATTTTTAATCTTATCCTGTCGAATCTTACCACACATTCAACGCAAAGTTCTCATCTCTGTCATACTTACTTTATTCTCGTGTTGGTTCTTAACTGCCCAACATTTTGTGCCCATGTGATCTACAAATTTTGTTTGGAATTTAGATGGTGATGATGCAATAGAGATCCCAATTACAAGACCTTCTTTTCCTCATATTCATCTCCTCCTGAAGACATGTATGGTCAAAACAAGATTTTCAGAAAATTGCACATCAGCATTGTCAAAAGCTCTGTGAAGAGGAGGTGAATAAATCTATTTACTTGTTGGGTAGGAAAGTGAGTATCCCTACAAATAAAACCTCTGGGAGACCATGATTGAGTTTTGACTTAAAAGGATTTTGAATCTCTTAAATCCTTCAATAATACCTCTCACCCCAAGAGAATGGTCACCAAACTTAACACCCCCCCTAAAATTCACTCATATTATCCTACCCTTTGGATTCTGAATTCCAGAAGTTACAGGGTGCAAAGCTTTCATTCTTATTCTAAATCCATATCCTGTTACCTAAAACTCATAACTTTATTAATCTTAGGATAGCGTTGCTTAGCATCGACCCCCCAAAATGCTATAGCAGATTTCATAGCGGGATTACTGCTATTGCAAAGACTAAAACCCAGTGTACAAAGTAAACATAAATACTCAAAAACAGACTAATACACGAAAGTAAAGAGATCAGCATAATTAACCGTTAAGTAACCTAAAGTATAGAGTTGTAAAACTTAAGCAGAGAAGAAGAATAAAAGATAATTGAACTAAAAGTAGGAAGAAGAGCAGAATGATTATTTGTGAGCAAGAGCATAACATTACTCTTCAAAGGGTACAGATTGAAATGTATACCCTTAAAAAAGACAACAGTTTAAAAGAAAAAAATAAAAGAATTTGAGGAATTTATCCCCAAAATTCCAATAGCAGACGCAAAAGCGACTAAGATAGCGGTTTGGGGTCGCAATTAGCGGCCGCTACAACCGCTATTGTTGACAGCGGCTCGAGGACCAATAGCGTTGCGCCAAACCGTACAACCACTACGCTATTCCACTATAGTGGTGCTATAGTGTGCCATTGACAACACAAAAACTTCAACAGTCTAAAATTTATAAATTTGTGTCTTCTCCTCCATCTCCTAACCTAAAACTGACCTAGGGAAACTGATTCATGGGAGAGACAAGTCCAGCTATATTCTGTCACAAAACATACAGTAGATGGCTTGAATGACTTATACATGGCTTAGCAATGGTGAAATGACTGCCATTGATCTGCACTATGATAAACACAACGAAAGCCGTATTTTGTAGAGACTGACATAACATGAGACTTATACCGATTTGGCAGAACCAAAAGCATGAACATGGCATCCCATTTATAATTATCTTAACGAATCCCAAAATATGATCAGAGCTCAATGCATCTACGGATAAGGTGGAATTTCCCAAGAAGAAATGATGGTGATAGAGAGCTCCTTGAAGAAGTAATGATATAGATGTTGTTGAACTATCTGACAAGAAGAATACAGTGCAAATAACTTGTTGTTCAAAAAAATAACAAGAGCAAATATACTTACAGCATGGCATGATAACAAGTAAGAGGAAGATTAAGCAGAAACATGAGCCAGTGAGCAGTGAAGAGACAGATTGCACATAAAACTCCTTGTCCAATAAACTCAGGAAGAATGAAGTAGTTGATCCGAGATGAAGCATCAAACGGGTTGATATAGTCAGCTTCCAAGTCAGATAAAATCAAAACCTAAAACCCCAAAAAAAGCAAACATGATGAAACTAGGAATTTGAATATTCTTTTTCTATGACAAGAAAAATGGAAAGTGGAAAGTGAAAAGAAAGAACCTGGTAGAAATTAGAAGCGAGAAGAGCAATATTGGCGGGGAAAGAAATCACAAGCCAGAAGAAGAGGTTCCAACCCATTTACAGAAGAAAAGAGTAAAGTAGGGTTTACGAAAAAGAGGATCTGAAGTTGGTAAATAGAGGCGAGTTCAGTTCAATTTCCAGTCATGACTATATATGCATGAATCATCTTGTTTTACCATATCTCAATGGGAAATTTGAAATTTCAGATTGGGGGTGGAAAGATTATCTAGGAGAGTGTGGAATGACTTTTTCTTTATTTTCAAAAGGTCTTGTGTAATTTGTACAAGTTAATATGTGATTTTCAAAATTGTGTGTACTTTTACTTTTACAGAATTTTTTTTAAATCAATCGCGTTTTGCTTAAAATATTAAATATAATAAATTAATAATTTTTTAAAATATTAATATTTAAAAATATTTAATACACTAATTATTAGATTTTTTTTTAATAATCAGGTATTAAAAAAAAATCGCAAATAACTATGTTTCGGAGAAAACTACGCAAATAATCATGTTTCAGAAAATCCCACAAGAGAGGAGTCAAGTGAGATGGCATATGCATTGGCCCATTTGCCCTAGGCACCATCTCACTTGACGCATGCACTCTATTTTAGCCAAGTGAGATGGCGTATGCATTGACCTATTTGCCTTAGGCGCCATCTCACTTGACGCATGCACTCTATTTTATCCAAGTGAGATGGCGCATGCACTCTAAAAGTGAAGGGAGGCGCTATCTCACTTGGCTCCTAGGGGAAAATGCATTTTTATAAATAATTCATCTGTTTCTCCGTCATTCTTCACACTTTCTCGCATTGTCTTCTTATTTTTTTTCTTTGTTATTTGTGTCATGACATCGCCCATGATTTTTATCAGAGATGGTTACGTTATTTTCTCGGCCATCAAACCTCCGATGAAAATGAAATTCTGGCACATTCACTTCATGGAGCGTCTGAAGAGAGAGTTAATGCGATCGCTAGAGGGAGATATCGAGGATGGGGAACAAATTAGAAGGATCCAGCGAAGAAGAACAGCCACCTCACTTGCGACAGGAAGACCTAATTTTTTGTTGAAGGAAGTCAAAACAGTAATGTTGATGATGTATGGGTCAGATGAAATTATTTTAACGGTTGTAATTTCGTAGACGGTTTATCGTGTTTTATTTGTTGTTCACGCAAGGTTTGTTGTAACAAATGCTCTTAATGAAAAAGCGTAATGTTTATAACTTAAAAAAGTAAAGATGTTTTGTAATACAATTTTTATGTGGTTGAGCTAGTAGCCCGAGTCAGACAATTTTTGCGATTGTGTCCGACCTGACGACATAAACCACATTTTCTTTCCAGCTTGTCAAGGGAGTCCATTTCAGTTGTGATGCGCTTACTTTTGAAACGACCATTTTTATTCCTTCGCATTTGGTCATTGTGCCATACTATTTTGTCGTCGTATGCAGGACAATAATCAGGTTTTGCTACCAAAGGAAAGTTGTTGTTGTATACGTTGAGCAAGGTTTCAGACTTGTAAATGGGAGACAGAAGTTGTAATGCGTCTTGTTGAGTATAGGCACATGCAACAATGACACGAGAGCAAGGCATACGAAAGGCTTGAAACTTGCCGCAATCACACTAACGCGAAGGTAGTATAACCCTATACTCTTGTCTTGGCAGCCCCTCGTTGTGGTCGATTGTCTCTTTGACAATGAAGTTGTGGCTGTGTCGGTCGAACCGTATAACCAGATGGGTGTTGGCTTTGGCACTTTCTGCCTTAATATACTTCATACAGCTTTCACTCCACAGTTGTCCCGATTGCAACACAACATTCCATATTTCACCTCTTTTGGCAAACAACGAAGCCATCCTAAAATATGTTGATTTAACCAAAGCAGTTACTGGGAGGTTTCGTATGCCTTTGAATACCCCTTTCATGGATTCAATCAGATTTGTTGTCATGTGGCCCCATCGTTGTCCATTATCGTATGACCTAGTCCATTTCTCAACCGGAATGTTATCGATCCACCTACCGGCGTCCGGATTTGACAATCAGATCTTGTTGCAATAATATTTGAATGTAGGTTGTGTCAATGCATACCCCGTATTCATAACCGCTTTCCTAAGAGCTTTGTCTTTGATCTCCCTCGTGAAGTTTTGGACGATATGTCTAATGCAATAAACATGCCTAGAAGGAGGGTCATGCCAACCGTTTACAGGATTATTGTATGCACTCTCAATAGATGCATGTCTATTAGAGATCAAATAGAGATCTAGTTGAGGAGCCACGTATGTTCGGAGATTCTTAAGAAAGAAGCTCCAAGCACCACCAGTCTCTCCCTCGACTAGGGCAAAGGTAATTGGGAAAATGTTGTTGTTGCTATATTGTGCAACTGCCATCAGTAGCGTGCCTTTGTATTCCCATACAACCAAGTCCCATCAATTTGAATAATTAGTTTGCATGATGCAAACCCTGTGATGCAAGGTTGAAAAGCCCAGAACACTCGACTGAATATTCCATTTCTGGTGATTTGACTACCATCTAGGGCGTACGCCGGCAGTGTTTCTATAATGTAAACAGTACCCAGAGAATAAGTCTAAAGTGAATTCAGGTAGCAAGGAAGTTCTTTGTATGACTCCTCCCAGTTTCCATATACCTTTTCAATCGCCTTGGTCTTTGCTAACCACGCCTTTCGGTATGACGGAGTATAGTTAAATATCGTAGTGATATGAGAGATTATGGTTTTCACCTTCAATGATAGATTATTGCTGATGAGGGGTAGGATTTCTTGACATATGAGATCATAATTTAGTTTCTGATGATCCTGTGATTGAGTAGAATTGACACACGTGTGGGTGGACATAGAACCTATGACCCAACAATTACCTCTTAATTTATATGATGCAGTGAGCTTGAACATACAGTCTAGGTGGATACACTTGATTTTGTACCTTTCTGGATTTATACGATATACCTTAAAATCGACCGAGTTGAGCATGTGAAACTTTTTTATGGCTCAGATACATTCTTCTCTATTACGAAATTTGTCTTTCTCTTTTAAGTTTTCATCCGACTGCATATACAAATTGAAAAATAAATCAGATGACAGTTCATCTCCGCCCATGTTGAATTTTGTCATGTGTGGAGGTGGTGTGTAGATCTCGTTCGAAGGTATACCAGGTATCCCATCATCTTAGGAATCATCGTTGACCATGTCGTCAAACTCTAACTCGTCATCTTCTTCTTCTTCGTCAATGAAATCTACTTCTGCTTGTTCAGTCTCGAGAGTATCAACCACTTGTGACAGCTGAGGCTCTCGCAGCATAATGTACAACTCAATAGAGTCGTACCCAGAATACTCATGACTGGAAAACATATTCTAAAGGTCCTCGTCATCTTGAACCTCAACCTTATAAAATATTATTTGGTTGTTACCAAAATAAACCAAAATACTGATACAAGAAATTGGATTTCCTATTTAAACAAAATCGAATGTTCTCAGTGTCTCTAAACAAAAACCCAGAGGTGGGACAAATGTATGTCTCACTGTTGAAATGTGCATTGATCACATATTGTGGTGCAAAGGTCATTGTGTTTGACTGTTTGAATGTTTGAAGGTTTAAGTGTTTGATTGTTTGAGTTTTTGAATGTTCAAGTGTTTGAGTGATTGAGTGTAGAAGTGTTTTGATAAATGTTGGATTAAATAGGTTATACTAAATTTGAATAAAACAACAGTAAGCAACCTCTAATTCTCCAACTGGGATGTCCAATCGTATGACATACATGCATAGATGCCTTCCCCAAGGCTTCCACCTAGCCTGCACCTACACTGCAACCCATGCCACCTCTAATTCTCCAACAGGGATGGCGACACCTTTCATTTTTGTACTCATTCGCCAAATCTAATGGCGCCTCCCTACACGTCCAATCGTATTACATGCATGCAGAGATATCTTTCCCAAGGTTGTCACATAAGCTGCACCTATATTACAACCCATTCCACCTCTAATTCTCCAACAGGGATGGCGACACCTTTCATTTTTGTACTCATTCGCCAAGTCCAATGGCACCTCCCTACACGCCCAATCGTATTACATGCATGCAGAGATTCCTTCCTCAAGGATGCCACCTAGCCTGCACCTACACTGCAACCCATGTCACCACTAATTCTCCAACAAGGATGGCGACACCTTTCATTTTTGTACTCATTCGCCAAGTCCAATGGCGCCTCCATACACGTCCAATCGTATTACATGCATGCAGGGATGCCTTCCTCAAGGCTGTCACCTAGCTGGCACCTACACTGCAACCCATGCCACCTCTAATTCGCCAACAGGGATGGCGACACCTTTCATACTCATTCGCCAAGTCCAATGGCGCCTTCCTACACGTCCAATCGTATTACATGCATGCAAAGATGTCTTCCCCAAGGTTGCCACCTAGCCTGCACCTACACTGCAAGAGCGACACTTATCATGCATGCATGCACCCATCAACCACCTCACTTACTCTGTGATAAAATTTTGCCTATAAACACCGAGCCTCACATACTTCTATTGCATCCACATGAAGAAGTGAAAAACACAAGAAGGGGGGTTGAATTGTAAAACTGAAAATCAATGCAATGAACACGATATTTTTATCCTGGTTCGTTTGATCTCAAACTACTCCAGTCCACCCGTCAAGGTGATTTCGCCTCTCTCCAACGAGGTCTTAATCCACTATATTCAACTGAATATTACAATCTGCTTTAACAACTGCTAAAGCCTTCTTGATGCAAAGCACAGCCCGGTTTGTCAAGGAAACACTTTCTTACAAAGAAGAGAAATAGGCGTGTGAATGTTTTCTACAAAACTGTATCACAACTGTGATGTTACACAACTTAAGCTTATTGAAACTAGATTGCTAAAATACTGATTAAGGAAATATGAAGCTTTTTAGCAAACTGAGAATGAGAAGATGTTGAGTAGCTTTTAGGCGTGTAATATGATGTAGAGCATTAGCCAATTCAATCTTCATTGTGTTGTTTATATAGCACTGAATTTTTGAATGTTGGAGCAATATTCTTGATTCAAT